TATATGATGCTACATAAACCGCTCCACGTGGTTTATATAAAATGTTAAAATAAAATGCTAATAAATGTTACTAAAATGTTATGATTTTTAGAAACTTCTCTGTTGTTCAGCTCTGAAATGATATTAAAACAATTATTCGCCTCAGGTTCGGTGAATTTTGTTGTATAATCCCCTTGACTTCATCTCAGGGATTATTCAGCGATATTCACCTTGCCTTCGGCGAATAATTGTTAAATACAATTTTCAACATGTTGATCTGGATAGTAACCTGATCTACAGTTGGATTTATGATGTTTGATACTCAAAAAATGGTCAGCATAAGGGGTATACTGCAGACTGCAGAAAGACTACAAAATCCACTTCACTTTTTAGAATTATAATAGAGACAGGGCTAGGGCTAGAAATAACTTTCTTTCTCTCACACTCCTGACAACAAGTGTTGATTCCTCTATTTTTGTCCTGTGAAGAATGTGTGGCACCCCTTGGAATGGAGACTCACCGCATCAAGGATGCTCAAATCACTGCATCTTCAGAATGGGATGGAAATCATGCAGCAATCCAAGGAAGATTGAACTTTAAGGCTGGTAGAGGCAAACAAGGAGGATGGTCAGCTCGCTGGAACAATAGAAATCAATGGATCCAGGTGGCTCTTGGCAGTTACACCAAATTAACAAGTATAGCAACACAGGGAAGGAATGCTCACAACCAGTGGGTAACGGCATACAAGCTGCAGTACAGTGATGATGGAGTTAACTTCTACTACTATAAATCACCAGGACAGAGCTCTCCCATGGTATTATTAAGCCCACAAGAGTGCACACTAAATTCAAAGCTTTACTGTTTTGTTTTCCATGATCTTTACATGTATATCTCTTACTAAACTAGCTCAAGGTCTATACTGTAAGTATTTAGGTTCATAGTTTATGACCCAAGGGCAAAGCTGACACCTACTGCCATGATCAGGTACAGGCCTCCCAGTTAGCTCAATGAATAGAGCGCTGAACTGCTGTGTGGGAGGTCGAGGGTTTGAGCCCCAGCCGGACCAACACTCAAGGTCTTAAAATAATTGAGAAGAATATGCTGCCTTACTATAATATCAAGAAACGGTTAATAGATATTCTAGTCTTCTTGGATAGGGACAAATAAATGGAGATCCAGTCTCCTGCAGGGTTAGGGGTGGCAGACATTGATTTCCCACGCACAAGATTACTGTGTGATGGATGTCCTCCCCTGTGGTGGGATAGGTGGGTTACTGGGCCCACAGTGATTGGCTAAAGCTGTTGCGGTGTCCCTGCCTGTCGGCAAATCTTGTAAATAAAAAAAAAAAATAATAATAATAAAAGAAAGGCCATAATTCTGAGCGGAATAACAGGATTCTGTTTCTTTCAGTACTAACTGAGGAGGCAACTAAAGTAAAATATTTATTATAACTCTGGATTCAAATGGGGGGGGGATTGGGGACCAGGGGGGGTTGGGAAGACTTCAATTCAAACAAACTTTTAAATTGAGAGGGTCATCAGTTGGGTAAAATACAGTCCACTTAATTGACTCATCATAGCTGATCATGTATTCAGCAATATATATATTAAATAAATTTCCCTGTTAGGGAAAGTGCAAACCTCAGTTTTTAATAATTTTAACTACATTCTTATTACATTTTCTAATTTTTCATAGATTCTAAAATATTAAATCATTTGCCAATCTTCTCACTTTGTCTTTTGCACAGTAGAAACATGTTTCTAATTAAGTTCGTTTTTTATGTGACAGATATTAAAGGGAAATAGAGACAGGGACAGTGTTGTTTATCACAAGCTGAACCCACCCATCAATGCTCGTTATATCAGACTCCGACCAACAGCTTGGTATCGTCATATATCACTAAGGATGGAGCTTTACGGTTGCCAAGGTATGAAAAATGTTAAGAGTATTAAATTTAAGATTTTCAAAACACATACTCACTTTTCACATCTAACCAAGTGTAAAAATATGTTGTAAGAAAACTTAGACATGTTTATTTCAAAATGTTGATTGAACATGTAAAATAGGGTTTTTGATTCATTTTCCTTTCCCATTTGAAGTAACAGTTGTTTTCTTTTTGACCCTTACTACTTTTCTTCTTTAGAACAAACAAAAATCATATTGTATTAAGTGAACATTTCTTTCTTGGGCTGCATTTTACTCTCAAGTGCCCAAGACAACTAAAGGAAATGGTGCTTTATTGGAATTCAACTCATTTATCATTTACATGTATTTAAATCATTTTGTAAATTTATGTTACTTCTTCAAGAATTGTTTGGTGTTGCTTTCTTAAATGATCATCTTCATGAATGCATTCTAGTCACCTTGTTTTTTTTCGTCTTTGGCTATATGCAGAGTGTTCAGAACCCCTTGGAATGGAAGGTTGGCAAATCAAAGATGCTCAAATCACTGCATCTTCAGAATGGGATAGAAATCATGCAGCAATCCAGGGAAGATTGAATTTTAAGGCTGGTGGAGGCAAACAAGGAGGATGGTCAGCTCGCCAGAATAATGGAAATCAATGGATCCAAGTGGCTCTTGGCAGTTACACCAAATTAACAAGTATAGCAACACAGGGAAGGAATGCTCA